CATTATGAATGAATTTCATGACAAAATGACGCCGGTAAATATAAACTGTGTTCGTTTACCTTGTGTGTGGCCCTTTGCACCTTTGCTTATTATTTTGCTAGTCAAAACAACCACAACACTAACCAATTTCACGTTTGATTACGTATTTATGCTAACCGATAATTTCAAAATTATTTTCAAATAATTCTTTGTCTATTATAGATGGATAGCGATGCTACAGCACAGTAAGAAGTCTCAGGAGTCATCCGTACAGTATTACCCACAAGAAACACCAGATCTTTCCCGACACGCACCTATGATGCATTGACGAGAGCATTAGTTACAGTGCACTCGCAAAAAAACATGACCAAGTTCAAAAATACCCTGCAGCACTGACTTGTTTTTTTCTCTTCCTTCTTTTCTTCGTCTTCTTCTTTAATACTTTAATGCTGGGTCGGATGAGTAAGCTTATAGCTTTTTTGGACCTCTCTATATGATATAAAGCATAGCAGTGTCTCATGTGCTCTTTTGACCCCTCAAGATGTATAAGAAATGCTGTTACTTGTACATGTGTTTTTGGTGGTGCGCACATGAGAAGAAAAATAGGACTACACTAACAGGAGGTGTTGAACTTATACTGCTGCCACTGGTTGCTGTTGAGCCGAGATTTGAAGATGTTTAGACTCTCTGATATGACCACTTCACTTGGAAGATTGTTCCACTGGTCTACGACCCTAAATAAAAAACTGTTTTGTCTGATTGTTGAATTACATCTTTTCTTAATCAGTTTTAGTTCATGACCACGTGTGTTATTCCCACTTCTAACAAAGAATACCTTCTCATCCATGTCTTCTAGGCCACTTGAAATTTTAAAGACCTGTATCATGTCATACCGATCTCTTCGGTACTCTAGTGATGGTAAACTGAGCTTTATAAGCCTCCCCTTGTACGACAAGTGTTTTATGTCACATACTAATTTTGTTGCCCTTCTCTGTACCTTCTCCAACAGACGAATGTTCTTCTTCAGGTACGGTGACCAAACTGGCGTTGCATATTCCATTAACGGACGGACTAGGGATTTGTACAGGGAAAGAAACATATCCTTGTCCATATGGTCAAATGAGTGCTTTATCAAGCCTACCATTATGTTTGTCTTTGCCACACATTTCCTCACTTGTTTCTCAAATTTCAAGCTGCTATCAAACGTTACCCCCAGATCACATTCTTCAATATCCTGTTTCACATTGGTGTTTCCCATATTCTTCTTCATAGTGTAGCAATACATTGGATTGTTCTTGCCAAAATGCATAACTTTGCACTTTCCCATGTTAAAACGCAGCTGCCACTTAATCTGACCAGTCACACAGTTTGTCTAAATCCTCGTGTATTTGCTCACACTGTTTCTCGTCATAAACGGCATCGAACAGTTTCGTGTCATCTGCAAATATTTTAACATATCTGTTTACAATTTCTGGCAGGTCATTTATGAATATGAGAAATAGCACTGGACCTAGCACACTACCCTGGTGTACCCCGCTTACCACGTTTCTCCACTCTGATTGCGCTGAATTATATGAGACACACTGTTGTCTATAGCTGGTATTGACCTTTGAATCAACCGATCCTAGAAAGTCCATGATCCA